TAAGACACCTGGAGGCAGATGTTCGTGTTTTATGTTTTATTTAAAAACAAAGGTTGAAATGAGACAAAATGAAGCTCTACCAAATTGTAGGGGAGGAACATGAGAATACCAAAGGTCAGAAAAGGAAGAATAAGCTAAATGGGTGGCACAGGCATAGACTTGGGAAGAGAATAAAAATAGAAGCCTCTGGATAAAGAGGTGTGTTTGAGTACAAATGAAGCTTTTTTCCTGTCCAAGGTGCTAAGTGCATGCAACAGAGCACTCACCACCCAGAAAGTGTGTGTGAGGGGACGGGACACCAGTCGTGGGGAGAAGATGTGGCTGGAAAACCTGACACCCTCCAGGCTGGAAGTTTCATTTTGGTGACCCTCTAACCTACATGGAATAAGATGGAGAAGGAGCAGTCTGTTCACAAACGCCCTCTTTGGTGCTTGCTTACCTTCTCAGCTACATGGCAGCCACTGGCCAAGTCACCCAGAGTCTGAGCTCTGCTCTGTCCCATGTGTTCCTAGGCCAGGCTGTCGTTAGTTACCCCTGGCCCACCACAGCAAGACTAGGGGAGCGTGCACACCGTTCTAGGGTGACCAGAATGTTGGCACTTGGATCATGAACCATTTCTAGGCCCCAGCTTCCTAACCCTCATGAAGGTCAGAAAGAGTAGAGGAAAGCAGGTATGCCTTCGTCCTCCTAAGAAACGAAGGGGGAAAGCCGAGTCAATATGAGGGTTCTGTTGATGCTTGGAAGGACCTAAAATGCAAGCAAGCACAGAAATGGAGTAGTTGGCTTAAGAGGGAATTGGGGAGAATAGGACAAGGCATAAGATTGAGGACCTAGCCCTTACAGGTTGACTTTCGTAACACCACCCTTTTGCTCTGAAGCTAGTCTATCGGAGCCGGGGGCAAGTTTAGACCTGATTTCCCCATCCAAGTTTATTGCTCTTGGAAAAGGTCAAAGTGCAATGCTGCTGCTCTCCCAGAGGTGGAGCACACGTGTGAGCAGCAGTGACGTTTTTTCTAGAAAACTAGATCTCTGTCCAGGACCCCACAGCATTCCATTCCAGCAAGGCCTCACAGCACCTTTGTGCTGCAAAGTACCCACCCACACGGAGGCCCCCACAGGGCTGACACTGCAGCAGCAGGGAGTGAGCATTGCAGGCACGAGGGGGTGAAAGAGTTCACTGATCCCTAAGTTAGAAAAGGAAGAGAAATGAAACTGGGCTGCAGTGGCCCCGCCCAGGGATGGCCTGTGGCCCAGTAAGGTCTAGTTTTCACCCTCAATGCAAATTAATGTCTTCCTACAACCCCCACTTATTACAAGAGCTATTCCTGCTTCAGAGCCACTAGGCTTTCAAGTCTGGGCAGCTCTTCAAATTCTTTGGTTAAAAAATAACATTTCTCCTCATCATTCCCACATCTTCCCTAACCTCTACTCACCCTCCAAAAAGTCCACAAGCAGCCTGGGGTCTGCATCATCTCAGCGTGAGGGGCAGTAATAACACTGGCATGAGATGGGACAGGCAGGCTTTGAGCCTAGTAAAGAACAAGATCATTTGAGGAAGTGTCTTGAGGATGTTCTATTTGAAAACAAAAATACAAGGTATTAAAATATTTTAAGAGTGTTATGAGCCCCGACCAGTTTGGCTCAGTGGATAGAGCATCGGCCTGCGGACTGAAGGGTTCCAGGTTCGATTCCGGTCAGGGGCATGTACTTTGGTTGCAGGCACATCACAGTAAGGAGGGTGCAGGAGGCAGCTGATTGATGTTTCTCTCTCATTGATGTTTCTAACTCTCCCTCTCCCTTCCTCTCTGTAAAAAAATCAATAAATATATATTTTTTAAAAAAGTGTTATGAGCATCTGTAATGTGGGGAAGAGATGTGACATGCAGAGAAACACATCTGGGCTCTATGAAGACAATTCAGAATCACTAGGCAGTAGTGTTTAAAGCGCCCAGCCCTAGGTTGTGAATTTGAAGGCTCCCCTACAGTTCCCCTGCCACCAGTAGGCTATTTCACACAAAAAAGTATCCCTTATTCCTCCCCTCTCCTTTATCCAATCACTCGCCCATGTTTGACCTGATCCAAATGAACTAACAGCCCTAGCCAGTTTGCTCAGTGGATAGAGCGTCAGCCTACAGACCAAAGGATCCCAGGTTCGATTCTGGCCAAGGGCACATACCTCGGTTGCAGGCTTTGGAGGCAACCAATCAATGTGATTCTCTCACATTGATGTTTCTCTGTCCCTCTCCCACTCGCTCTAAAAATCAATGGGGGGTGGGGGGAGAAATGAACTAACAACTAGAAGAGAATATGAGGTAACCCAAAACACCAAAAAGAAATTTCATATCCTAGCTGGTTTGGCTCAGTGGATAGAGCGTCAGCCTGCGGACTAAAGGGTCCCGGGTTCGATTCTGGTCAAGGGCACATGCCTGGGTTGCGGGCTCATCCCCAGTAGGGGGCGTGCAGGAGGCAGCCGATTGATGATTCTCTCATCATTGATGTTTCTAACTCCCTCTCCTTTCCTCTCTGAAATCAATAAAAACGTGTTTTAAAAAATTGCATAGTGCCACTAACAACTACAAAAATAACTTCAGACTCTCCATACTTCCCATGCCCAACCAAACATGCCAGAAACACACAACACAATTCATTAAGTAGATTCACATGAGAACACACAAAAGGTAACTTCAGAATTTAAAACAAAGCAAAGTCACATTTAAACTTTTTTTTAAATACGGAGAAAGTAGAATCAGGAGTTCTGGGAGGCAGAGGAGGGGCAGCAGAGACAGCAACAGTTTCCATGTGTGCAAGGTCCCCACTGCACTGAACCTCAGTAAGGCTTCTCCAAGCCACTATCCAATGAGCAGGAGTCTGGGTTTGTTTTCTCTTCCTTCAAGACCACAGACAAGAAATCTATAGTGTACTTCCCTTAAGTAGGAAATGCCCAGCTACACCCTCTAAAAGGTTATTGAACTTGGCCTGTTTTATATTGGATCGGCCCTTCCTGAGGTTGGAAGCACCCATGAGAAATTAATACTGGCAACTCTGTCCTTGACACTTTATATCCTACCCATTGCCCCCTCTCCCCCACTTACCCCCAGGATGTACAAAAGGACCATCTAAGGGTAGGGGACATTTGGACCCCCAATTCTGGAATGGGTGGGAGGGGAAGGAAAGCTGGGCCCAATACAGCTTCTTCCCCCTCCCCGCCCCCCAACATCATATCCTTCCTCTCCTACGGCCAGCCTAATGAACACCTGTTTTTCCATTCTCTGTCATTTGGCCTTCACTCTGATTACCTGGTGGAAAGGCACCTGACCTTGAAGTGAAGGCGAGCAGAGCTTTCCTTTCCGTGTATAAGGAAGGGGCTGGGAGAAGAGGCGGTATTGTACTTCCTAGAACAGTGATGGCGAACCTATGACACGCGTGTCAGAGGTGACACGCGAACTCATTTTTTTGGTTGATTTTTCTTTGTTAAATGGCATTTAAATATATAAAATAAATATCAAAAATATAAGTCTTTGTTTTACTATGGTTGCAAATATCAAAAAATTTCTATATGTGACACGGCACCAGAGTTAAGTTAGGGTTTTTCAAAATGCTGACACGCCGAGCTCAAAAGGTTCGCCATCACTGTCCTAGAAGATGTGCAAATGTTTTCTCCTCTCTGTCTCCATATGCATAGAGTGAGGACTTGCAGAGGAGATGGAGTTCAAGAGAAAATATAGGCTTTTTTTAAAGTACTCTTAAAAAAAATAAAAGACTCCTGGTATTGTAAATGATGAGATGGGATTTACTGTCCTTTCTTATCCTACCTCCCTGTTGTCTTTCCACAAAAAGAAAAATTACTGGTTCCCTGGCAAAGGGTCCCGAACACCCCAGGGCAGGACAGGTGGCCCTGGCCAGCGACAGAGAGCTTTGTCCTTTCCCACCCCTGCACGGCACACACACCCAACAGTCCCCACGCTGATCCCTCTGGATGTGAGTGTGCAAACAGCACAGCCTTTCAAGGGCATGCAGAGCTATCAAAGGTCAAAGCCTGAGGAAACGTCAAGGACCCCATTTGTTACTTTCAACTAGTTGCATGAGTGTCAAAAGGCCATGTGTGTCCAGGGTTGGAGTGGGAACTTACCAAATCCTCTGATCAGGAGGCAGGGACTACACTGTCTCCATCAAGGTTTCTCATCAACCTTGGCTCTACTGACGTTTTGAGCCAGATCATTCTTTGTTGGGGGTGTGGAGGGTGCCCTGTGCACTGTAGAATGGTTAGCAGCATCCCTGGTGTCTAGCCACTAGGTGCCAGTAGCACACAACCTCTACCCCCAGGCTGGACAGCGAAAAATGTCTCCAGGGAAGGCCAAATGGTCTCCTTTAAACCGTCAGTCTGGAGTGAAGCGAGGAAGCTTCCACAGTGGGGACGGAGCCGAGGGGGAGCCAGCAGGGTCACGACTGCAAAGGCTCCCAGCACAGCAAGGTGCGGCGGGGAGGAGAGGGACCCCTGAGCCCCAGAGGAGACAAGAACCTCCAGGAAGCAGAAAAGCTGGCATTTTTGAAAAGCTGTAGCTAGAGAGGACACTTCTTCAGAGGGTGTTAGCCTGGCAGTGAGAAGAATTAGAAGTCAGTTGAGCCCATCCTTCTGTAACTTGCAAGGGACGACCTGGTCTTCATCCAAATTTGGCTCAAGTGTGACTTTCAAGGCTGTGGGGTTGTCTCCTTAATGAGCCTAGGTCGAATCTCTGCTTCCTGAAGACAAAGTCTAGTATTTTCTCACAGGATGTGGCAGGACAACGGGAAGAAAACCACTTCCATGGCATGCTTAGTGTTCTGCCTTGTTCCTTGCCCAGCCCCCTAACGATTCCATATGAAAATTTCATTCAAAAGAGAAATTCACAAAATTAAAAACTGAAAAAAAGTGAAACAGACAAGCTCTGCTGTTTGGAAAAGAGAAGAAAAATATGGATGAGAGAAGCAAAGCATAAAATGAGTGGAGAAAAGACAGGATGTGTGAGTTACGAGCTTTATAAAGCAAAAATTTAAAACTGCATATTTTCTTAGACCAAAATAAGTCCATAACTAAACTCAGTAAGAAGGGCCCACAGTAGGAATCCTTCAACGTTTTAGCACCACTCCTTTCTTTTTTCCTTTTTTTTAAGAGAAAAAAAAATAACAAAAAAAAGTTTAAAAGCCTTCTCAGATAAGTTCAACACATCAAAAAGTGTTTTTCATAAAGATAAGAAGTTCCAGGCACCATGTCTCTTTAGGATAGGGGAATTGCATATCGCAGTTTTTAAAAAACAAAACAACACATAAAACTTTATTTGCAAAAGAAAGAAAAAAAGGTTGTTTTGATTCCTTTGAATGTAGCACACACACAAAGTGCCGGTTCCCTGGTTCCCTGGTTCCCGAGGCTCCTTCAGGAATGGAGGAAGAGCAGAGGACACGAGTGCTGAGATTTCTTTCTCAGGCCCAGGCCGGTGAGAAACGAAGGCCAAGTGGTAGGTCTTAGCGGGGCCCACAGATGATCTGTATTCCTGGTTAGCCCTCTGGAGTCTGGGAGCATCAGCATCTCCAAGAATTCATTTGGATTCAACAAAGACGGGGAGGGGAGTCCTAAAGGAGGAATAAGCCAGAGGGTAGGAAGGGGGAATGACAAGCATGAGACCCTGTCTGACCTCAGCTGCTCAGCACACCCTAGCCCTCAGCATGTGATTCTTACCACTGTTACTTGTTGAACTGGAAAGAATAGACCCCGTGGTCTGAGGGAGCATCCATAGTCACCTGATTTTGCTGGCCGCTGTTCTCCTGTAACCACAGCCAAAGCAGGGAGTCACCTTGTGCACCCTTATCTCCCCCGCCACTAAAGCAGCCTAAATAAAACCCACCCAGAGGCGAGTGCCTTCCCCAACCTACCCGCTCCCATACGCCAGTGTTCGGTGCACATGCAACAGCACACATGCATCACACACCCAGCATTACCTCCCCAGCGTCTAGAGCAGCCTGTTCCCAAGAAACACTAGTGAATACAAGCCAGCATCCTGGTATTTACTATCTGGCCGAATGTCAGGAAGGGCCTCATTCAAGGACACAAAGTCTTTCCTTCCTACATTCTTCACCTACCCGCTATTTGTGAACACAGAATCAGCATCATTGTGAGAGGGAGATCTCGAATGGGAAAGTCTGCCTCTTTCATTTTCGTATCCTCAATCCAAAGAGATTATAACGTTCTCACCTCAACTGACACGTTGGAAGAAGGCACTGGGGTGTACTGGGAGATGTAAGCTCCTTGCATGGCGGCCGCAGTTGGCATGTACTAGAATGAAACACACCAGTGGGCTGAGTGACTCTTGGCTACACTGAAAGCACCTGGGAAGCTTTAGCAACTACTGATGCCTTCGTTCCATCCCCAGAGATATTAATTTGTCTGATTTGCTTTTTAAAAATATGTTTTTATTGATTTGAGAGGGGAAGGAGGCAAAAGGGAGGGAGGGAGAGAGTGAGTGAGAGAGAGAGAGAGAGAGAGTGAGAGAGAAACATCTGTCGTCTGCCTCAGGCACGCACCCTGACTGGGACTGAGCCCGCAACCTGGGCATGTGCCCTGATCAGGAATCGAACTGACCACCTTTAGGTGCACTGGATGACACTCAACCAACTGAGCCACACCAGTGAGGGCTAATTGTCAAATTTCATGTGCTTTTTAAAAGCACTTCAGAGCTACACTGGCTTAGAGAGACTTATACACACATGATGCTTTTTCTCCTCTTTCCTGCTTTCTGCGCTACCTCTCTGCCGGGAAGCCCTCCTGGGCAAATCAGAAGGCAGCAGGCCTACAAGAAACCTAGTGATTATTTTGTGATTATTTTGATAAGGATTTCTAGGAGATGTGAATGATCTCCTAGATAAACTAGTATGTAGATAGAAACACCATTTGTTTAGTTTCATGAGTAGGAATCAGTTAAAAGGAGTGGGCTGGGCAGCAGGATGGCCATATTCCTAGCTCATGGATGATTATCTTTTAAGTTTACCCCCTATTCTGAGTGTGCCCTCAATGATACTGAAGCGATTCTCATCATCATAAGTATTTATCCTGAAAAGTATTACACAAATATTCCTTCCTCAGTAGGAGTTTATAATCAGAAACATTCTGCTTTACCGCGCCCGTGGTGCTGAGGGAGAGGTGGCCCAGTTGCTGGGTAAGAGGTCCCATCATGGAGGCAGGCTGGAGAGAAAGGGGGTGGTCCATCCCTGGGGTCAGAACTGAACCCTAGAGGCAGCGACAAAGGACAGGGTTAGTTGGCAGCATTCTGTGAGGCTGCCTGCAGCAGTGATCCGCGGCTACTGGGACCATTTAAAATTCCTGGAAAATGAGAGGTGAGCAGCTACCCCGTTATGCAACAGGAGTAGGCACTCTGCCCGTCTGTCTGTCTGGATCCCTGCCTAAGAATAACAAACTCACAAAACTTAAGGTCATATACTTGGGTTGCATAGGGCTTGAGCCAGAACTCAAACCCACATCCCCTCTCATCAAACCCCATCTTGCCCGCTTCTGAGCACTCACTGAAGGCTGTATGAGGTATGACTGGTGGTGCAGCCACGACGGGTTCGGTGCTTGTAGAGGCGATGTCTGAGTTACTCTCTAATGCACGCAAAAAGAAACAAGCAAAAATGTTAATTACCTAGAAACCATTGTTTTGCCCAATGATCTGACAATGTTCAGACAATCCCCCCAAAGCTGGAGTTCCCCATCACAAAATAGAAACATTAATACAGAGAACAGACTGACAGCTGTTAGAGGGGAGGGGAGGGAGGTTGGGTGAAAAAGGTGAAGACACAGACAACAGTATGGTGATTACCAGAGGGAAAGGCGGGTGGGGGAGTAGGAGAGGGGAAAGGGAGGATAAGAGGTGATGGAAGGAGACTTGACTTGGGGTAGTAAGCACACAATACAATATACAGATGATGTATTGTAGAATTGTACCCTTAAAACCTATACTTTTATTAACCAATGTCACCCCCATAAATTCAATTAAAGAATATATATACACTAGAGGCCCGATGCATGAAATTCATGCGGGGGGGGGGGGTTTTGGCCATTTTTCTTCTTA